GGGGGCACCTGCTTTCTCCATGCGTCCATTCACACACGGAGCCGTGACTTTGCCTCACCCCCTCTTTCCTCATTGGCTGACTGGCTGTGATTGACAGCAGCGAGAGCCAATGGCTCCCACTTGCTGTCTCAGCCAATGAGGAGGCAGAGACCCGGGATAGCCGAGGCTGTCATTCACATCACAATGAGGCTCAGGTAAGTATTGAGGGGGCTGGGGAAGCTGCTGCACACTGAAGGCTGAAAACATTCAGCCTTTACAACCACTTTAAAGAGGTTGCAAAGGCAATTTTTTTTTAAATAGCAAAAATGTTATACTTACCTGTTCTGTGCAATGGTATTGTACAGAACATACCCAAACCTCCTCTTCTGAGGTCCCCTGTCAGCGCTCTTTTCTTCTCCTCTTCTCAGTATACCACCATAGAAAGCCACTTAGTATGGGGGTGCACATGCAGGCTTCCCCCTGAGCCGGGCTGTGTGCATCCATGGACACACATAGTGCGCCCTCACTCTCTGCTAGGATTTGTTTGACAGCAGTAGGAGCCAATGGCTCCTGATGCTGCCTCTGTAAGCAGAGAAAGAGGAGAGAGCTGCTGCAGATGGGCACAGAGCTGGATCGAGTAAGGACTCAGGTAAGTATTTAGAAGGTGGGGGGTGGGATACAATAAAAATTGGGATAGGTAAGTATTTAGAAGGTAGGGGGTGGGAGACAATAAAAATTGGGATATTTTTTCCTGAATACAAGAAATGACATGCCTTTACAACCATTTCACAAACATTCCCCAATAGAGAAATCACCAAACACTATAGGTTGTTAGGACTCATGTTGGCTCCCTAATAACTAGGAGGAAGCTGTCGCATTTAGCAGTGGTAATAATACTGCTGCTAAATGTTTCGCTTCACACTGCAGCTGGAGGGTTGTTCAGTTGAAAAATGCATTTATTCTGCCATTCCCACAAAATTCTCCACAGATGATACACTGTGCAGAACTCTCCCTCATATTATTCTCCTGCTGGTCGACTGTTCTTAGTCTGTAGTGTTAAGCTACTTTCTCTATTGGCGCATTGTAAGGATCAAATGTTCTTATAGCCATTTTTCTCTTAGAATTGAATGTTAGGGAATGGTACATTCACCCAGTCAAAAGGCAACAAGAAAACATTTACACTACTAGCAAAGCTACAATTTCTGGTAAAAATTGTGTGAAGTGCTCTTGCCTCCACCTGGGTTCCTATGGCAACTCATTCTACAGCAAGGGCAGAGAAGAGCGGTTAAAAACAAACTGCTCCAACTTGCTCACTTCACTGGCGGTTGCCATCTTCAAACGGTTGTAGTTTAAAAATTGTAAATCCTACACCAAAGAGCTTTATATTGTGAGAATCACAAGACCCAGACCTACATTTTGATGCATAGTATGTCTCTAAAATATTAAAAATGAAGGCACAGTCGCAGTTTAGAAATTGCCCTTCAACTTTGAGGTGGCTAGAGTGGAGTTTCAATGAATGTCAATGGGCTGCATGACTTGTAAACAAATGGTTATATTGTGAAAACTATCAGGACTATGGCTTAGCCGTGAACATTTTTAGTGGCAGCAGGGATAGCTGAACGTTTTGATAAAGATTTGTGTAGGTGGGCTTGAAAATGAGGGAGTGATGGCAGTTTAGAAATCATGTCCTGATTTTTCAGCCCAATTTCACCACAAAAACGCCGATATTTCGTGAACCATTCGGAGAAACGTTCCACAAAGTAATAGCACACCAATCGGGAACAATCCGCACGTTTCGGCATATTACTGTCTATGTAGTGTATAAACCGTGGGAGGAGTTAGGGTGGAAAATTTGGCTATAATAATAAGAATATATATGTGAGATAACAGTAAGTGGCCTTGCCATGCAAGAACACTTAATTAGGGCCCTTTCACACAGGCGGGTGATACAGCTCACTGTTCTCTATGGCAGGGTCTCCAAACTTTCTAAACAAAGGTCCAGTTTACTGGCTTTCGAACTTTAGGGCCATTGGGAGTGCAAATTGTCCTGCGTCATTGGGATTACACAATGCATCTTTGGGATTAGGGGCATTAGGGGGGGAATAGCACCCTAGTCTTCGTGTAAGTTGGATAAATAGTGTCCCATCGTTGGTGTCAGTGGGAAAAACAGTGCCCTATTGTTGGTGTCAGTGGGAGGAATAGTGCCCCATGGTTTGTTTCAATGAGAGGAATACTGATTGTTGTTGATGTCAGTAGCAGGAATTATGCCCCCTTGTTGGTGTCAGTGGGAGGAATAGTGTTTTGTATCAGTGGGAGAAAAAGTGCCCGAAGGGCCAGATAAGGGCAAGCAAAGCCGCATCCAGCCCCCAGGCCATAGTTTGGAGACCACTGCTCTATGTCAGATGTAAATGGAACACTTGTTTGTTTACATCCAACTGTCATCCCATCTGATCCACTAGATGGGTAACAGATCTTCCATCTGTCTGTTTTTAGCAGATCAGATCGGATCTGATACAAGCGGGTGTAAACGGGCAATTATCCGCTTACATAGAGAACAATGGATGGTGTGATCAGATTCACCTGAAAATGGACTGTGTGAAAGGGCCCTTATGCAAGCTTTTTATAAATAGACCAGTGTTGAGTCTACAGGACAGAAAGTGAATGAAAATCCATCTAATTTATTACAGGTACTTATATAGCACTGTCAATTTACACATATATTGTGCTCCCACATCAGTCCCAACCCTGAAGGGGTATACAATCTAAGGTCCCTAAGTTACATTCATATCCATGCTAGGGCCAATTTAGACAGGAGCCAATAAACCTTGCAGCATGTCTTTGGAGTGTGGGAGGAAACCAGTGTACCTGGAGGAAACACATGCAGGCACAGGGAAAGCATGCAGGCTCTAGGCAGGTGGTGCCATGGTTGGGATTTGAACCAGTGGCCCTAGTGCTGCTAGGCAGAAGTGCTAACCATTTATCCAAAATAAAAAAAAAAGTTTTGGCTTGAGATATACTTTAAGGGATCCCCAAAGCAGATTATTTTAAGGATTTGTATATATTTTTAATGTCGCCATCGATGCCTCATGATAAGACCCCACATTTTTTTTTCATTTCATTTTACATGTCCCCCATAACAATGCCCAGATTCTCAGGCTTTTTTTAATAAAAATGGCCACAGTTTACTAAAAGTACAAGAGCTCACTAAATTATAAACAAGATTCACCAAACCCTTAACAAATTGAACCTGGTCAGATTCCTTCATCCCTAGTGTAACAGGTACTGTTCTACTAAAGCTTCCATCAATGGAAAGTGCTCTATGAATAGAGAATGGACAGATCAAAGGTCCATCTCCATTCATAAATTGATTAACGAATATTTTCATGATGATTTGTTTTCTGATTTCTATTTTTCTATAAACTAATATTTAAATATTTGATTCTTTAATGTTTTCAGTGTCCCAAAAAACCCCCGCAAAATTAAAAAAAAACAAACAAACCTTTATTTCATTTACAAATAACAGTGATTTGTACCACAATCATAGCACCATTTTGAATGGAAAAAAAACATAGAACCATGGAGAAACCATAGAATAAAATGTATCCCCTTTAGCTATAGTAACACTATTTTTTAAAACTAGCACTAGTCAAAGTAGTAATATAAATACACAAATAAATAAAAAAAAGAAATATATATATATATATATATATATATATTTCTTTGTTATCTTTGTAATGAAAAAGTTATTGCTGAATCAAAAAGCCCAAGTTAGAAGTGTTACATTTGTTCTGGTTCATAGATGGTATACAGGTGTGAGAGCTGAAGTGAATAATTTTTATTAGCCTCAAAGTGGTATAAAAGAAAAAAAAAAAAAAAAAAAAAAGACTAAAACAAACATCTCTAACATCTCTATACTCTGCTCCTCCTGATCTCGGGTCCCCCGCCGGTGCTCCTGGCTCTTCCTATCTTGCTTGTGCCCCCAATAGGAAGTGAATTCCCATGGGGCACTTGTGCGAGCTCGCTATCGAAACCCGCTGCTGCATCTATTGACACAGACAGCAGGACTGGAGTTGATTGAAAGGGATGGGAGACAATGGCTCCCACTGGTATCGATCTGCCCAGGGAGGAGGGACAGAGCCAGGAGAGCCACAGCTCTCATACACAGAGCTGAATTGTGATGGGGCTCAGGTAAGCATAAGGGTGGGTGAGGGGGGAATATGTGACACAAAAAGGTTTTTTACAATAATGTATAAACTGCATTAAAAATAAAAAAAATCTTGAGGCTTTAGATCCATTTTAAACCTTTCCTTAAAACCTACTCATGATTGCAATACGACTTTATAATTCCAAATGCCCTTGCTGTGGGAACATTATTTAACCCTGCAGCAGAACTAGGAATGTGAACCGGTGTGTTCCTAGTTCTCAGACGCGCTGTCAACCAGAAAAATGAAACATAGAATTGTTGCCACGTTACCTGATACATGCTATATCTGGCCGGGGTGTCTAATCTTTAGAAAATGAAGACTTCTGCCCCAAGTCCTATGGTCATGTCTCTAGTGCCATGTATATAATATATAAAGATTGAGTTATTCTATCTTTATAATATTTCTGAAAGTATTTCTTCCTTAAAAAGAGATGTTTTATATATTTTCACTGTGATCTTCTTTTGTACATGTAATGTGCACACCAACAATGTAGCAGGGACATGCAAGAAAGCGGCCAATCACGTCTGAAATCTAAAAGGAAGAAACAGAGTTTTTAGCCTGACATACACTTTAAGCCAGTAGTACCAGTCAATCTGAATTTTATATATTTGTCAGGAATTCACAGTGGCAGTGCTTGGAACCAGGGAACGTGCTTTTTTTTTTTTTCTTTTGTCCTTTTGACCATTTAGTAATTCAGTATCATTGCAAGTGTAGGGATTTAGCAGATTTTGATGCAATGAGACTTTGTGTCACTTTGTAGGTAGGCTGTGCATTCTGAGCAATGTGTTTTAAGCAGGGAAAAAAAAAATTAAAAGTTTATGTATTGTCATGAAAGAGTCTTTCCCTGGATGATCTTGCAGGTAAATGACCGTGTTTCGTCATCTTCTGGATTTCCACCGTGCTGAGATCACATTCTAGCATCTCTCTGACCCACTCATCATCCAGAGAACCATCTACAAATTCCTGAAGACTGATGATGGCTGAAAGAGGAGAACATATTAACATATAAGTTGAGCGGCAGAGAAAGCTTTAATTTTTCCCAAATGTTGGCAAAAATGCAGAAGGTGAAACTTAAAGCAACATTAAACCTTTGTTTTTTTTTTTCACTAAAATAACAAACAAGTCATACTTACCGTCTCTGTACAATGGTATTGAACAGAGCAGCCCGGATCCTCCTCTTCTGGGGACCCCTGCCAGCACTCTAGGCTCATCCTTTTCGGTGGGTGCCCCCATGGAAAGACGTTTTCCATGAGGGCACCCCTGTAGGCTCATTCCTGAGCCGCCTTGTCTATGTCTATTGAAACAGAGTGGGAGGCTCAGCCCCGCCCCCCTTGGCTCGGCACAGCACTTAATTGACAATGGCTCCAACTGCTATTAATCTGGCCAGGGAGGAGGTACAATGTCGGGAGAGCCACTGCTCTTGTGCACATCGCTGGATTGGATCAGGCTCAGGTAAGGGAGGGCTGGGGGGTTCCTGCAGCACAGAAGGTTTTTCACTTTAATGCATAGAATGCAGTAAGCTGAAAAACCTTAAAGTGTTACCAGGGGCGGACTGACCATTTGGGAACTCGGGCACTGCCCGAGGGCCCGGGGGGTCAGTAGGGGGCCCCATGAGATGCCCCTGGTACCTTTAATAGGCTTTTTTGGGTGTGGTTTGAGTGTGGGCTAGGACACAGGGGCCCCATGATCCCCTATTGCCTGGGGGCCCCATGAGTTGTTACTTCACCCCTGAATGTTACTAAACAGTAACAGGGCAGCACAGTGGCTAAATGGTTAGCACTTCCGCCTGGCAGTACTAGGGTCGTTAGTTCAAATCCCAACCACGGCACCACCTGCCTGGAGTTTGCATGTTCTCCCTGTGCCTGCATGGATTTCCTCTGGGTACTCCGGTTTCCGCCCGCACTCCAAAGACATGCTGGTAGGTTAATTGGATCCTGTCTAAATTGACCCTAGTATGTGTATGTATGAATGTGAGTTAGGAACCTTAGATTGTACACCCCTTGAGGGTTAGGGACTGATGTGAATGTACAATATATATGTAAAAGCGCTGCATAAGTTGACAGCGCTATATAAGTACCTGAAATAAATAAACCCAGGACTCTGCATTCACTATATCTGGTCTCACACAGAACATGGAGATGCAATTATTTTAGTAAATATAAACTGCTACATGCCTTTTCTCATCAGCAGAGCACTGGTAAAGCTTGTAGGAGGAGTTTTCTTTCTGCTCTAGGAGGATGCAGAACCCCTGACCTCTGTCTGGACATTGCTGATTGGCCCTGTGCTGATCACATGCACTCTCCCAAGAAAAAAAAAAACCTCTAGCAATACACACTAAACTGAGCATGTGCAGAAGGGCTACAGGTTCAGTCTGTCTAATCAGCATGGACATTTGAACACGAGGAGGGCAGATAAGTCAGAATCAAACAGCTTTTTTACACAATGCAGAGGATTAACCCCTTAGGTTCCACAGTGAGTATAACAAGCATGCTTTACTGTATATACAGACTGATTTTACTGTTGTGGGTTTAGTAACACTTTAAGGCTTTGGAACCACTTTAAGGTGGTGAAGCTCCTTTCAGTTATCCCAAACCAAAAGCAAGCAAAACAAGCAGACACTCCTTCATATCTAAACACAGCTTCAAGCACGCCATTTTGTCAGAGCAGGGGTCCCTACATCACAAGAGGGGCTGAATAAAAATACAAATCCTTAGGCAGGTAAGATAGTAAATATATATAGTATTTTATTATGACAGCAAGGACCTTGCAGGTGCTGTTTTCTACCAGACACCTTCAACAAAAGTCAACACAACAATCAACCAACAGGGCCAAGCCATGTACAGAAGCCTTTAGCTGTGTGTATGGAGTTCAGCGTGAATAAAAAGTTTAATATGTTCATTTTACCATTTTGATCCTTGTCCAGACGGATGAAGATGCGATTAGTGCATTCTTCTGCAGTCATTGGGTTGACCTTTGTAAGGGATGCTGCGACACTCATTTTATACACAGCCTGTGCAGAGACAGAGAAAATAGAAAACAGTCACCTGGACCGCTGCCACTACTGAATCACAAGAAAATTTAGGACAGTGCCATCTTTGTTCAGACATCATCCAGGGCCAACATCTACATCATAAAATGAGATGCCATCTCAGAGATGACACAGTCATGATATTCCTCATGCCTGCACCAGACTGATAACATACAGAGAGTTATTTACTAAGACTGGAGAGTGCAAAATCTGGTGCAACTCTGCAGAGAAACCAATCAGCTTCCAGGTTTTATTGCTAAAGCTTAATTGAACAAGCTGAATTTAGAAGCTGATTGGCTACCATGCACAGCTACAGCAGCATTCTGAGTGATCCAGTTTTAGTAAAACTGCACATTGTCTCAGCCTAGGCAGTCATAGGACCGCAGAAAACAGGTCCTGTGTATATATTATGCAACTATGTCTGCCCCATGTACATATATAATTACAAAATATACATAGTAGAAACCACAGGACCCATACAGCCCCCCCCCCCCAAAACAAACACAGTTTACTATGTTTCCGTTGTGAATGAACACAATAAGTGATCGGTACCAGGCCCGGTCTGGGAATTTCAGACTGAGCATCCCATTTTTGTTTTCTAAAATCAAGCCGGTGTTCACACGCGATTCTCATCTTGCTAGAGGTTTTCTACTCACGGTTTGCAGATGCAGCGGACAGCCTACGCAATATACGCTAAAGATGTATCAAGTAGGGCATTTCAAACACCCAGCACATATAGTATAAAACGCAATGCACAGATCTGACTGGTTACATAGCCTTTATAGGGGATATTTTACTTGCACTGTTGAGCACGTGCCTTTTAGTGCATCAAATGTACAGGTTCTGTTCACATCTGTGCAGTTCGTTTTTGGTGTGTTACCATTGAATTCTACTTTGATTTAGATGAAAGCACATCACAAATGCAGCAAGCAGGGATTTTTTTATAATGCACCTAAAGTGCATATTTAACACACAGGTGTGAAACAGATGCTAACGTAATAGACATGCAGCATTTTTCACATCCATGGTCATGAGCCCCTGTAGAACCACCCAGCTGTGATCAATCATGTAGCCACGTCCAGCATGCACACAGCGAAGGTTACAGGCTGAGCCCCTATCCCACATGTGTGCTCTGCTCTCCATATATTTGGTGGTAGTGCAGCACCCCTCCCCTCCCCCCACAGGTGACAAAGTCCCTCCTCGGCACCACACAGTGGTCATCCCTCTGGACCCCTCTCCCATCACTTTCTTGCACAGTGAGCCATCCCTCCTTGTCCTTTCCTTTACTACTCCACTGACAGAAACCCTGGCCAGCCAATCACAAAGCAAGAATGTCAGCTGACACCGCCCTGCTCTTTCCCTTGCCTGGGGGGTTCCCCCCTCCCTCTCTTTGTATCAGACATCGAGTACCTGGGCTGGGAACCGGCCACACTGTCCTGCTTCCCAGGAAGCCCTTTCAGCTCCAGCAGAGCCCAGTGATACTTGCCCATGGCCTCCTGGTAGTTCTTGTCCTTGAATCATTGCTCCCTCTAGCTCTTGGAAGTCCATGGAGCAATGCCTGGTGTGCCCCATGGCCAGTCCAGGCCTGATCAGTACTGACCACTCATTGTGTTCATTTAGGGAAGGAAAGGGCTGGTAAATGTGACATACTTACATGCCCCTTCCCCAACTCTCTATCCTGAAGGATCCTATTGTGTGCTTGCAGCTGCCGGTGGGAAGAACAGGGGGGAAGCCAGCAGCTCCACGGCGGTGGGGGCATAAAGGGGTGCCTGAGCAGCAGGGGGAAATGTATGGTGGACAAGGAGGGCGATGGGTGCAGCGGTGGGGCAATTACAGGAACTAATCCCCTGTATGGCTTTCTAGCAGCAGCTGAAAGCCAGTGAGAGGGAAGGGAGAAGAAGCTAGCTTTCAGCTACTGCAGAGAGAGCAATAAGGGGGTCAGTTCCAGTAATCCCCCCCCCCCCACACACACACACACCCTCACACCCTGCCATCCTGATCACCCTCCTTGCCCACATCCAATTCACCCAGCTGCCTGGGCCCCTCTGCTGGCCTGGGCCTCATACAGGAGGGCTGGTGGTACCCCCTTATCCACAGCCCTGCATAGCAATAAGGTTTTTAGCCCATTAACACACCGAAGAGTATTTACACCAAGCAGATATCTTCTAAAAACAATTAAAGAATATAAATTAATTTAAAGATACCACTGAACTATGTTGTTTTAGAGCCATTAGTGGACACAGATGTATAGGCATATTCTGCTGTTCTCATCCTTCCTTGGTATTGTGCAAGCTGTAAGCACTGATGTCAACATCCCAATGTGTGTCTATCAATGAAGAATGGCACAAAAGCAGTTAAAAGCTTCTGATTGCTTCCAGGGACACAGCTCTCCAATCTACTGGCAGGCTGTAACTTTATTTCTATGATCCCAGCTGACTTGTTACCTTGCTGACTTGGCCTGTTGAACTCTGGCTTTCTCTCATTCCCTGTTTTTTCCACTTATATACCTAATCATCAGTCTGGCTTGTCTGACCACACTTCCTATTGTTAATATGATTTGGTTTCCTTCTCTTGACATTGCGTCTCCTGCAACCTCACCCGCCATTCTGTACCTTGCTTGACTAGCTGTCCTTCTGGTTACCATATTGCCTTACATCTGATTACTTTCTTAACTCCCAATCTGTGATCCTGCTTCATCCCAGCTCAACCTCTCACTTCTCTTACCATCATGATGGGGCCAACCTGGTAGCTGTACAACAAAAACATTCCACCTCTACCACTAAAGCCGGCTATAGATGGTTCGAATCTCAACCAGTTCAGCTGTGTTCTCTCGGAAGGGACAGCTAGATGTGCCCCCCCACTGGGAGAGAACACAATAGCTCCACGGGAAGGATTCCCCCATCAACACTGAATGTGGTTGCAGGAAAGAAAGTCAAATAATTAAAAGATCTGGAGAAGACCAGGTGCTCCTTAGATTCTGAAGACACAGTGAAAACAATTCAAGAAGATTCCCCACAATGTTTACTGACCCTCATGATATCCAGCATCTCCGAGTGGGTGATAGCACCATCTCCGTCCTTGTCGTATAGCTTGAAGGACCACCTAAGCTTGTCTGCTGGGGTCCCATGTGCAAGCATGCTGATTGCTGTAACATATTCTCGGAAGTCCACAATTCCATCCTACAGTCAAGATAAGGGAACAATTGTAATACATGGAGTCCTGAATATGGAAGTGTATTCACAGTTCTTGGGTGCAAAAGGGATGAGGTTTTTTTGGAAATAGCTTGCACAATAACAGGTACCAAGAGCCAGACCTAAAGTAAAGCTGTACTTGAGAGTAAAGGTAAACCCTAACTGAATGGTATTTAGTTACAGTATGTGTATCATGAACAATTTCTATTTTCCAATAAAATCCTTATTTTCACCTTTTTATATCTTATCTTGCATCGTAATGCTATTGATCTCCCTCAGCATCCTTTCAACACTCCATGTCTATATGCATGCTACAAGGTAATTCTCAGGACAGGTTTCCTGATGGTGACAACAGTGTACCCTGCCTGCCTAATGTGTGTTTAAACAGCCACTTTTAACCTATTGGATGTCTGTGTGAAAGGGTGACAACACAGAAGCACAACTGCATTCATGTTTAAGCAACTGTTCTTTAACCACTTCCCGTCCGGCCCATGTATATAATCGGCTGGACGGAAGCAGCGCAGGTGTGGGTTGCCGTTCATAAACGGCGCCCGCCATTTTAGGCTGTGCGAGCTCCATGGGAGCGCGCAGCACCGCGATCCGGTGCCCGCTGTGTCCGGAGGACACAACAGAACACTGATCGCTGTATGGGACCTCTGTGTGAGTTCCCAATCATGTGATCACTGATTGGCCAGTCAGTGATCACATGAACAGTAGTAAGCAAGATGTCACTTCTGACATCATTGCTTACTACGTGTGAAATCTGTGAATGATCACAGAGGTCACATGGTACAAGGTTATTCACAACAGCCTTGTACCTTGTGACAAGCTGTGACAAATCACAGCTCTCACAGTATTTCTCAATGGCTGCAAGAATGCAGACAGAGAAAGAGAAATGATTGCTTTTACAGCCTTTATGGGTGTAACAGCAATCAGTGTAAAAAAAAGAAAAACAAATCTTCATCACCCCCCACAAGAAGTACAGTGTCTCTATGGTGACACTGTACTGCTAGGGTGACAGTATGCTAAAAAAAAAATAATAATAATAATATATAAAAAAAAAATAAAAATGTAAAAAGTTTTAGAAAAATTATAATTTTTGGTTATAAACTAATTTTGGTTATTTTTTTTTTACTAAAAAGATAACTAAATACATTTTGGCCAAGATTTATGAAGAAAGATTATTTGCAAAATTTTATAAGAAAAACACTTTTTTTCTAAATTTTTCAAAAATCCCAGTGGTGAATAAATACCACCAAAATAAAGTTGTATCTATCACAAAAATGCTAAAAAAAAGTCATATGGGTACAGTGTTGCATGACCGCGCAATTGTCATTCAAAGTGTGACAGCTCTGAAAGCTGAAAATTGGCCTGGACAGGAAGAGGGTAAAAGTGTCCAGTTAAAAAAAAACATTATAATTTCAGTATAATTGTTCACTTAAAATTAATCTTTATTGTTTTTTGTATAGGTTTTCTTTATTTATTTATAATGTTCAGGACATTTAAAACATTTTTTTCTTAGTTGGATAAATTAATCTCTATGACTAAGCCCTGAAGAAAGGCAGAGTCTGGCCAGAGATGTAAGTGACTCTGAACAAGAACATTTGTTAAACATTAAGACTAGTAGTTGTGCAAGCTTCATTTTTACAGTCAGATTACATTTCTACCAGGAAGAGCTCTTTACAGTTTAAGAGTTGTTTACAGCACTGAATAGATGAAGTTCAAATTTACATACACATCTGATCAATACCCCTCCCTCCCTTTACTATCCAGCAAGATTATACAGGGTTTCAATTAGAGAGATACAGTCTGAATGCAAACAGTTTCTGCTGTACTCTCTTTTTAGAAAACCCACAGTACTCTATGCCATGGATGTATGGTGTATTAAATGTTTATTAGTAAAATAAACATTTTATGTAAATTGTAAAAAAGATATAAATTGGTTTAAAAACATACGTATTCATCAAAAATGCGAATTAGAATGGATCTAAATCTATCATAGTTCCTCTTAAACTCCAGGCAGATACAAAAGGCACTCACTAATTCTGTCCTCCATTAACCACTTGCCTTCCAGAGGATTTACCCCCCTTCCTGACCGGGCCATTTTTTGCAAAACAGTGCTGCGTCACTTTAACTGAAAATTGTGCGGTCATGCAACACTGCACCCAAATGAAATTTATGTCCCTTTTTCCCACAAATAGAGCCTCTGTGATTTTTTATTTTTTGTGCTTTAAGCAAAAAAAGTTTTAAAAAAACTATATTTTTTACTTTTTGCTATTAAACATGTCCAGTAAAAAACATTTTAAAAATCAAAATGAATCATAAATTTAGGCCAAAATGTGTTCTTCTACATGTCTTTGCTAAAAAAAATTCCAATACATGTAAATGAATTGGTTTACGTGAAAGTTATAGCATTTACAAATGGTATGTATAATGGAATTTTTTTTTTTTACTAGTAATGGCGGCAATCAGAGACTTTTAGCAGAACTGCGGTGGGCATTCTGACACTGGGGGGAATTGACTTGGTATCACTGACATCCCCAGTGACACCAATACAAAGATCAGTGCTAATAAAAAGCACTGACACTGTACTAATGGCACTGGGCAGGAAGGGGTTAACATATGGGGTGATCAAAGGGTTAACTGTGTGCTGCGTGCTGTTTTACTGTGTGTTCTGTGTGTGTTCTTCACTGTAAGTACACTGCTTTGTATGGCTCTGCTATGTGTGCGCCCCCTACCCGTAACTACAAAATCACATATATATACACCAGTATTTCTGCTATAGGGTGGCCCATCAATAGATACAAGCAGGGTAAGTTACTGGATCTGACTTGTAATAGCCTCTTGCAGTCCTTGTACAGCCTGGGAGAGGGAGAAGCAGAGAGGCAGAGAGATGAGCTCATCTACCTGCTGCTTTCAATCGTCCATCTCTCCTCCATTCATAGACAATGTTTCATTCATAGAAGCTATAATGCAGCTTGTAACCAGGTGTAGTTAGCTAGTCTGCCACTGGGTGGCTCTGTCTGAAATTAGTGTGGTAATAGGGAATTATTTAATTGGGGTGTTAGGTTCCCATTTTGACAAAGCCTTCCTAGAGTGATGTAATGGGTGGAGTTAGTGCCCATATAAATGCCGGGAGGGGAGGAGCCTTGTGAGATTGGGCATGGGAGGCAAACACCCAGAGCTATACATATGTATGTATGTAGTGAGCTTCTGCAGAGTACCTGCACAGGGCTGAAGTCCGGAGATAAGTGTAGAGTATTCAGTAGGTGCAGCCAGGGCCATGGATAAGGGGGTACCAGCAGTCCTCCTGTACAGGCCCCAGGCCAGCAGGGGGGGCCAGCCAGCTGGGTGAATTGAATGTGTGCAGGGAGGGTGATCGGTATTGGAGGAGGGGCAATTATTGGAACTGATCCCCTGTATGGCTCTCCCTGCAGCAGCTGAAATCTGGCTTCTTCTCCTCTCCCTTCTGCTTGCTTTCAGTTGCTGCAGAGTAAGCCATACAGGGGATCAATTCCAGTAATTGCCCCCTCACTGCACCCATCACCCTACCTGTGCACCATACTTTTCACCCTGCCAGTTTCCCCTTTGTGCCCCCACCCTTGCAGTGCTGCCAACTTCCCTCCTCTCCTTCCCACCAGTGGCTGCAAGCACATAATAGGATCCTTCAGGATGGAGAGTGGGGGAAGGGTCCAGTAAATAAGTCACATTTATTTATTTCAGGTACTTATATAGCGCCGTCAATTTACGCAGTGCTTTACATATATATTGTACATTCACACCAGTCCCTGACCCTCAAGGGGTGCACAATCTAAGGTCCCTAACTCATATTCATATACAAGGGCCAATTTAGACAGGATCCAATTAACCTACCAGCATGTCTTTGGAGTGTGGGAAGAAACTGGAGTACCCAGAGGAAACCCACGCAGGCACAGGGAGAACATGCAAGCTCCAGGCAGGAGGTGCCGTGGCTGGGATTTGAACCCACGACCCTAGTACTGCCAGGCGGAAGTGCTAACCATTTAGCCACTGTGCTGCCCCACTTTACCAGTTTACCTGCCCTTCCTTTCCTGAATGAACACAATGACTGATTGGTACCAATCACTCTCCGTGTTCATTCGTAAATAAAGCCTAGTAAACTGTTTTTCTTGGGGTGGAGGGCCCTGTCAAGTTGGCTGTATGGAGTCCCATGGTTTCTAACAACAGCCCAGGGTGCAGCTGCAGCAGTTCTGTCTCTTATATGACATGCAGGGAGTGAGAAGGGTGCATAGAGCTTAATGGGCCAAGTCTAAGCGAGTACTAATGACCCTGGGAGTAACACCAGGGAGCATGCCCAGCTGGGTAGAGCTATGGAGTGGGACATAGAAAGAGAAGCCAGTATACTACTGAAGGTACCTTCTTATTCCTAGCCGACAGAGCAGGCTGCTTCACCTTGTGAATCTAAGTTTGAATAGAGAAGAATGCTATAGATTTAATATACCGGGAGACAGGTTCCAACAATATGGTGGTCCCAGGGAGAGAGAAGATGGCTTATGAGGGATGTGCAATGTTCGGCTTTTACAAAAGTCTGCTACAGCTTATCCACTTTTGTGTTTGGTGATGTATGCTGGAGACACCTGTCAATACGCTGATGTGATGTCTTACTACCATCGTTGAAGAACATTAGTAAAGTGCAGAAAATATAATTCATTGCATGGACATTCCTTTTCTTGAGAATATACTGTAAAGGTTAATGGTTGGGGATGTTGTGGGCAGGCCTACAGCAAGGAGTGGGCACAATATGGCAGAGGCTTTGGGCTAGAGCAGTGGGTTGGTGTCCTATCCAAGAAAAAGCCAACAGTCTGCCAATCAGAAGCCCACTTATAAACTTCTAGGAACAGAGAAAGAGTGCACACAGTAGGGCACTCTTTATGAATGATTGTCATAGCCCCATCAAATCTTTTAAC